GTGTCAGCACTTGGGAATAAGATCTTGTCTTACAGCCTTTGACTTGTTTATATTAGACCTCACTACTCTAAGCCCATAAACTTCTGTGAACTGCTGAGAAATACACCATGGATCCCCAAGCACTTGCAGCCTACAAGGCAGAAGTCATCATCACTTTGTGATACTCATTTCTTTCAGCTTGCTATTTGTTCTCTGACACCAGGTTGTAAAATGCACATGGAATATGGAGACTGGATGATTATAAGCAACCATCAGAAGAAAAACAAACAGCTGTGATCATACTTATACAGATTGTTCAAGGCAGAACTCTTGGAAAGTTGAAGATAAATGAAGATAAAATGATCTGACAGACTATACACATGATCTTAAAAAAAGGATTTATAAATAATCTTATTTTATGAGATGTCACTGAAAAAGGCTCCTAGGAGTCCACCTGAAATCAGTGATTCCTTTTTCATAAGTTTAGAGTGAATTTGTGTGCAGAAATTGCATGTGATACAGGCAAATCTGTGAGCTGGAATACACAGGAGCTCTGATTTGATCCTGTTCTTTTCTAAGACCCGTGGCACTCCGAGTCTCTTGCATCAAGAGGCCTTGTTTTGATTTGGTTTTAAGCTGTTGTTTAGTTATCATAGCAGCTTTCATTCCTAGCTAATCCCATGTTGTCACCTCTCTGACAAGCCCTAGTCAATACAAAGCTACTCAGTCTGGTTGGCAGACAGGTGCTGCCAGGGAGCAGGAGGCTCTGTGGTTGGTGGCATCTAGTATTTGAGTTATCCTGGGTGCCTGTTGACAGGAGTGAAGAGGGTACTCTTCCAGAAATATTTCTGAATTTTTTTTATCCAGACTTGCAGAAGCTCCAGGGAGAGGTAGAATTACTCGCTTATTGCTGGAATCAGTTGCACCAGCAAGTTTGCCAGCAGAGGCCATGATGGCTGTGGAAGGAATTGCCTCTGACAGGTGTCCGAATATTACCAGGAAAGCATTCTCCTGACTCAGCAGGTTGGGCACCAACTCTTACAATCAAATTATTTAGAGCTATTCAAGACTAGCCTCAAACAGTTGTACAGAAGAGTAGGAAGGAGTAAGGATTCCTCCCTGTTTGGCAGCTGTGAAAAGGTCAACCACAAAGGCAGCCCCTATATCCGAAGGGAGCGAAGGCATCCTGGGCCAGATGCCCTCCCAGGGAATGTGGAGGGTGGCCAGGGAGTAGCAAAAAATAGCCAGAAGTGTGGCTCTGCCCATCAGGCTGGTAGCTGGCATCAGTGAAGTATGCTGTATCCTGGAAACGGGTTTAATGAATTAATCTCACCCTAACAGTTTGGGCCATACTTATGTGTATATATATATAACTGTCTCTCAGTGTGTGTCTGTATACAAAGTATTCCCTCAATTCAGGAATGGTGCTAGGAGGAGCTGAGAATGTGAAAGTGCCTACAGAGTGTCTTAGTGCTGCCTCTTAAAGCCTGCTGTCCCCAGCATAGTGCAAAGCTTAGTGTCCTTGATTTTGAAGTATGTGATATAAAGATTCATTTCATTTTATGGAAAAGGTAACCTGAGCCAGTGACTTGTCCAAGGTTGCTGAGAAGAACAAGTTCAGCTAAACAGGACAGTGGCAGAACTAGGTAGAAAAGCCAGTTTATTGGTCTAGTCACTGGTGACTATTGCCTCAACACAGAATGGGTATTGATGTTTTGTTTATGCAAATGTATATGTGCAAGGAGTTGAGGCAGCCATTTCTGCTGAGATCATTTGCCCATTTTTTAACATTTACACACACATGGAGTTGTTTAGGCCATCTCTGCTCATAGTTAAGTTATTTGCAATAGCATGCATTATTTGTGCAGCTTTTATATATTTTCCATTAAACCCAGTTCCCAGGATGCATGCTGAGAAAACTTAAGGCAGTGAATAGAGCCTTCAGTCTATCACTCACGCAATAATCCCTACTGGATGTGTTGAGAAAGGAGTTGGGCCTGCTCCAGTGTATCACCAGGGCCAGACTCATCTTGTGCAGGTGGGATCTACTCAGTGAAGTGCAAATGCACTTTTGCTTAAGGGGACTGTAGCTCTCCAAGTTGTCTTTCACTCCCATTCTCCTCATAGGTGTTCACTGCTGGTATTTGGCCATGGTGGCAATGTGAAGGGAGGCTCTGCAGTCAAAATAGACTACACAGGAATAATTTTTGATTGATTTTGCAAGGCTTATTTAGATCATGAAAGAGGCTAAGTGTCTTTGTTTGCTTTGTTTTTCCTTATTTGTAAACCACTAACAACTTATGAAAACTTTGTTGACCTGATGATTGAGTTGTTTGTAGAATATATTACTTGGCAGAATGATAGACTTCTGAAGGTCTGCTTGGAAAAACAAGATTGGCAAGTGAAAGTATAGAGTATAGCTGAGGGAAGTTAAGAGAATCCATTCAAGTCTTTGACCTGAGAGGTGTCAAAGATTCTGCTGAATCTACATGGCTCATCTGTTACAGAACCAAGAAGATGAAACTGACTTCATAATTTGAAAGGAATATTCCTGGAAGAGAAAAAGAAAAAAAGAGGCTTTGGAACTGTGGAAGATGAAGACTCAGGGCCAAAGGGTGCACTCAGACACCCCTAAACAAGGACAGGGATAAAGTCAGTCTGTCCAAGAGCAGTGGCTGCAAGGTATGGGGGAAGGTGTGACATACTTTGTATTGTGTAAGCACCACCACCATTCCTAGTCCTCCACGTGGGAAGAAGCAGACACCTTCAGGCTAGAAGATGAGGGGTGAATAAAACCCAAGGGGCAGTGGGAAGGAGAGTCAGGATGGAGATGGGACAAGAGATGGACCAGGATGCCACAGAGCTCAGTCATTTCTATTAGCTGCAGTGATCGGTAGGCAGGAGATATCTGGATAGAGTTTGGAGCTCTTTGGTATGTTACCAGGTGCTTTTTCTTCTCTGCTTTCCCATATCCCTTTGCTGAACCTTACTCTTTCCAGACCTGACAATGTTTTTTTTCTATGGTAGAAATGCCATGGCTGCATACAGCAAGGGGAAAACTAAGCTGAGTGGGGAAAGGGAGGTAACTGGTGGGGTGAGGAAGATCCACTGGGGTCTGGTTTTGTGGAACTATATAAAGCAATTCTTGTGTCAGGGAGGTCCATCTGCACTGCAGTGTGAGCCGCCTTCTGCCAGGTGTTTTTCTGGCAGGTCTGGTTCCCGACAGCTGAAGCTCTTGTTTATGTTTGCTGTTGAAAAACATCTTGGAGGTTTTGATCAGTTCCAGACACTGTTCTGCTAATGTAGGAATATGAGACACCTCGGAAAGAAAAAACTGTGCTGTTCATCTTCAGTTGATAAGGTTTGTTAGTGCTTTGTAGTGATAGACAATTCAGTGGTCATATATTTTGCATAATGAGTTATTGATTTCGTCTCCCTCTGCAAAGATGTCCAAACAAATCCTATGTCGACTTTTTAATGGGGGTCTTAGCAGGAAGACCACAGCTTGGATGAAGTTTAGAGAATGAACTAGTATAATTCCAGGTGTCTCCAGGCTAAAAAGTAAGATACTTTACTGCTGGGAAAAATGTCCTCCTAAAGTCAGGTAAGTGCAAAGAAAACATCTGTCTCCAAGTCTGACATATTTCCACAGAAGGGAATTACTTCATTGAAAAGTAATAAAAAATCACAAAAGTTGCCATAGTAGGGCTTAAACCACAAATACTACTCCCTTTGTATAAAATCTTTGTATAAAAATCTTCTTTGGAGATGATATCTTAGTTCCTTGGATTAGGAACTGGATAAAGATAATTCCTTTCCAGATTTATTTTTGGCATTGTGCTGTTTCAAGTACTTTTGCCATTGAATTTGTCTATAGTAGAGCAGCAGTATGTGTTTCTATCTTAAGCAGATATGATTTCAATGGATAGTAGAGCAGCTGAGACAGTATTACTGCCTGGCTGCAGGATGAATGTTTAGTGTTTCGTGTGAATAGCTGACACAGTATGTGAGTCCCGGCAATGCATTTCAATACCCAGCATCCTGTGCAACCTGTGTTCTCCATCTTGACCCTTCTTCCTTGTGCACCACTCTTCCAGTGACACCTTCAGACAAGGACAAGATCTTTTTTTTTTTTTCAATTTGTATTTATTTATGGACTTTGATTTGTAAATTTTGGGACCATTTTCCAAAGGGGTCCCACTTGTAGCTTTCTCAAGTACCCACCTTAGCATCGAAACTAGATCTCCAGGTAAGTTTGTTTGTGAGCTCAGATTCTGGTGACTAGACAGGTTGTGTCTCTCATTTGCAGATGATAGTATCAGTGATATGACTCATGCCTATGTTTTTTGCTTCCTGTTTGTTAAATGATGCATTCTGCAATTCACAGTGTTTCACACCAAGCTGGACTATTTGGATCAGAAAGAACTGCTCTCAACTGCTTTAAAACAAGACATTTGTCTTTCTATCTGACTTCAAACCGGTTTGAAATATATGAAATTTTAAGATCAGATCTTGTTCACTATCTCTGTCTGTCAGGCTACTGACCTGAACATGACAAATATTAGGAAAGAGACTTTGTGACAGTTCTGCTACTTGGAAGAAACTGCTGCTCAATATTCAAGTCTGTTTTTGATTGCCCAAACCTAGTCTTTGCCCTGCCATCCATCTGTGATGTTTATATTTTCAAAGTAGAGGATTTCACCTCCAATGCAATTGATGGCGCTGTTTTAGAGTTTTTCAGAGCAGACTGGAGGCTTTCAAGGTGTGGTAACATTCCGAGACCTTCTCCATTCACCTAAAGAACGCTACAATTCTCAAAAATATCTTGTTTCTCAAGCACAGCCTAGAAAAGGACAGGGAAGTATGTCTCTTAGAAGTCAAGACGGAAAATACAAGAGAATATCTAGATGAAGCTTTGGGTAGGAAAAGAAAATCACCGAAACACTTGGCAAGCAGCATCCAAGTTCTTCCTCTCTTCCATCAAACATCAGAATAATTTGTGTATTGCATTTAAAACCTCATCTCCTGCTGGGTCCTGTAGAACCCAGTAAGTAGCATGGGAAATTTTGTTGTGTGCTGTTGCCCAGGATGTGTTGACAACAAATTCATTTGCAGCAGATTTAAAATATGTACCTTTTCCCTTTTAGTAAACATTCTCTATCTCACCACCCTTCTTGTCTCTGTATGTCTCTTTCTTTGTCTCCTGTCAAAATAAATCTGGCTGCCATGCACTGTAGTTAACTCAAAATATTGCTAGCATTAAATGTGCCCAGACATTTTTATGAATACATTAAACTTGCATGAAATTTTTAGGCATTATAATTTACCAAGCTTACACCAAGATGGCATTTGATACTGACATGAGCTATTAATTAAAAAAGAGGACGTTAAATAATTGTCAGTTGACATCTAAATTACTGTTCTGTTGGCTGACAGAAGCTTGCCTCAAGCCTTTCTCTTCTCAAGTGTTAGTAAATATCCCATTGAGTTTAAGGGCATCCTATCGTGAATTGATTGTTTAAATCTTAATGTTATATACCTGACTAAATAAAGCAGAAAATGCTGTCAATTGTTTCACAATGAGCTGTCAGTATCATGTGGGTGTAAAAACACTTGTGTTTGAAGTATTTGGGAAACTATCAGGGTAGACACATTGGAATGCTTCCTGACTTTACTGGAAATCTGTTCTTAAAATGTGTTGGTTAGGGTCAGTACCAGCTAAACAGGGTTCTAATACAGACAATGATTATCTGCTGTCAAGGCCTTCAACTGGTAGGAGGCTGAGCAACTCCATTGACTATGAAAGTACCGTGCTGGGTAACACCCACTCAGAGTATTTCACAGCTAGAGAAATTATTGAGTGGCTTAAGGCACTTGTGGGAATAGTGATGTGAAATTTTGAACAAAATTTGGCTGAAGTTGAATTTGGTGAGTGTTCTAACAGCTGGGTTTAGGGTTTTTTCCCTGAATGAACATTAATAATCATAACTAGTCAAGCAGAAAATGAAGCTGTCTGCAAAAGATATGCCAGTTCTCCTCTCCTATCCTAAAAGGGTGGTGTCTTGATTAACACTAAGGGTTTCAGGTTGCCTGTAACCCTGAGGGATTCAGGATTGCCATATGGTTGGCTGGAGTAAATCTAGAACCAGGTGATTTCAGATAATGGACTTTATTTTATCAAAGGGTTTTCTAGGACTAGCCACTGGTCTAAAAATTCCATGAATTAGAATTCCCTTCAGAACTGAAGGAGGTAGCTAAAATCAACTTAGACCTAATTTCCACATATGTCTCTGGTGACCTGACTAAATGGGAAACTACGACATATGGGGGAAAATAACCATGAATAAAAATGAGCAGCTTGGATTTTCTTGAGGAATCTCCTCCTGTAGCACTTACACTGCAGGTACTCAGCACAAGTAATATTTCAATGCTCTTTTCAGCAAATAAACTGAGAGGAATTGTGGTGATTTTGTGTTTGTGATGGTTTGGGGATTTTTTTTTTCCATGGCCATACTGGTTCTGGGTAAGGGTGAGGAAAGTGAAGGGCAAAGATGCATCCCTTCCAGCAGGAATGATCATTGCATGACCTTGATCTATAAGAGCTTGGAGTGAAGGGAATTCTCCGAAGTGAGATCCAGAAACAGTAATAACCTTTCATGAAGCCATTTACCCAGAGTTTGCTATTATTATATATAGTATAAATTTTTAAAACAGAAGCTCAATCACAAGTGTTTGAAGGATTTTCTTTATAAAAAGGATCTCAGTCTCATGGGATTTCTTGTGTAGTTCTGAAATGTTAAAAACCCCATTACAAGGAATTTCCTCTTTCCACATAGATCCACAAGATATCCCAATCCTCTAGAGGCTTACATGTATGTCATGTGCAATCATTCAAATGGCAGTCATGGGAAAGCATCATGCATAAAGAGAGAGAGGAGTTAAACATGGTTTGTGTATCACACTGCCTCAGAAAACACAATGACTCTTACCTTCTATCCATTTTGCCATCTGACTCTAAAGAGAGAACAAGACAATGTGGTTAATTACGAAACCAGGAACAGGGTGGTGATAGGCCTGTGCAGAAGTTGTAAGGAGGGAACCAGGAGAATATAGTGACAGCTGGTAAAGTTACAGCCATCCTTTCTGAGGCAAAACTCTTTTGATATTTATGTCATGCAACTCTCCTAAAGCCCACCCTGATTCTTCCAGCTGGAATATCTCATGTTCATTTCCTCAGAGCTGTATCTTTGCTAATATTTTGGCTGGTTTGGATTTGGCTGTAGCACATAACCAGAATATCATGAGAAACAACTTTGAGGCTAAAGAGTTGATGATACTGAAAAGTGAATCTACAGTTCTAGGCAGCCCATCACTTCAGACATGTTTAAAATAGTCCTTCATAGGAAAACCAGGGCTGTTGTACATACACAATTGTTAACACTGAAGCTCAGATCTGCTGTATTAGAAGATAAGGAGAACCAGATCTCTAGATAAGGGATCAGGAGTATTTTTTCTTACCTCCAGAGACATGCTCAAACATTTGGGTTTTGATCACGCAGATTATTACTGCTACAAAACCAATTGACAGAAGTGCTCCCAGAGTAGTTCCTATAATAACATATGTGTAATCTGCAAATATGGAAAACAAGTCAGTGAGTATACACCATTAAGTAATAAATGCAGTGTTTTGTTTCAAATCTGACACAAAGTTTCCAAAGTTTAAATGCATCCTTAAAAAATTATAATGCTGAGCCAGACTAGGTAGGTGAGAAGAGTCTGAGTCTACTCTTTCAAACCCCTGCATATCATGAATCCATGTGAACTCATTGCTAAGGGGCTCAAGGGTGTTTTATGATAATGAACAACTTCAGCCTTTGGTGCGTGCAGGCCTCAGCTGAGTTTTAGAGCCCGGGCTATACTTTCTCCCCCTGAAGCAAAATACCCCATCCCCACTCCTTTGCCACTCTGTATCGTGCCAAACTCTTATTGCACATACCCACCTCCTAGAGCCTGGCCTCCTGCCCTGCCTAACTGTTCTGCCTCTGTAAGTTTTTGCTGGGGGGAAGCAGGGGAATTTTTGAGTGTAAACTATGCACCATGTTGTGATTTTGCATCACTGTGTGTATGTGAGGGTCCGCCTCCATATGTCAAGCAGGAAGGTGCACGTGCTCAGGATCTGTGTTCCAGGCTCTGTACTCCCTATGCTCATTATGATTACCTAAAAGTAATTTAAAGCATCAGTCACATGACAGGACTCTGTAATCAGATGCTTATCTTTTACACATAATAATTAAATAAAGTCTTCTAAAGACATTCAATTTTGTTACTTTGCCTCTAACTTGGAAGCAAAAATCTCACCATGAACTCACCTATTTCCTCTTCTGGATTTCCAGAAGCATATGTCTTTGCTCTCCACAAATCTAGAATGGAAACATTTTAGCCTGTTAGGACATTGAGCAGAATGCCATATCTGGCTATTTCCAAGGGGATCGTTTATTCTAATAAAGCTTAAGATAGTATCTGAGGCTTCCCGAAGTAGTCAGGTTAATGGGGGCATCCTAGAAATGTGGCCATTATGTGCCACTTTTCGAACAGAATAGAAAATACAGTTTCAAAATTTTATGTTTATTCCACAGTTTCCTCACTGCAGGCCTGAGAGGTCTATGCAAGATAAGATGCTATAAATCAAGAAAAAGATTACAGATGCACTAAAGCTAACAAGACATCCTAACAATTGAGGATATGGTACACCACAGCACCCTTTCCAGAAAATACGAATCCCAGTCCTGCTTGTAGTTCCAGTCTTCTAAATGTGTTTTACTGCTGTCAGAGAAGAGAGTCTTTTCCCCTTGCAAGAAAACTTTATGGGCTGGGAAAAAACCTTTTCAGTGACTCCTATGCCAAGTTCCCTGTTCATGAGAAGGACACCTCCTGGCCCTTCACTTCTCCATAAAGCCACTGAATCATGTTGCCTGATGGTCAGTGTGTGCAGGCCCTCTGAATGGAGTGGCCCTGAAGAAAATAATTCATTCCCACATACTTCATGAAGAAAACAGATTCAACATTTAAAAAAAAATGAGAAAAAGGAGAAGTCTTATTTGATTTTAAGATTGCTTGGTTATTATAGGAAATGGATAAAAATGTACACTCAAATGTTTTTTCAGTAATGGGCATGCAAGGATATTTCCAGCAAAGTCTTTTCAAGTAGCTCCAAATGATGTGACTGACATGCCTGAGGTGCCTGGACCATGAGAAGGTTTTAAAGACAGATATGACTCCTGCATTTCAAAACAGCATGCTGCTAAATTTCTGCACATGCCTCAGGCAGAACATGAAGTCCTCACCTACAGCTATTGCTCTTTGGCAATCCACTGCTGGGGTGACAGTACATATGGCAGCTGCTGGGAATACAGCTGCTTTGCACACAACATCATCTTTTCACTGGCATTCCACCATAGTGGGGAATTGTGAGGGAGTATCATTTCACTGAAACTCAAGTAGAATTTTAATGTCTTAAATGCATCCAGTTTTCCTACCGCTAAGGTGTCCAGCATTGTAAGTACCAGCTCCTCTCCTCCACTTCTAGTGAAGAATATTTATTGTGGAGAAGTATTTCTTATTTTACATAAGCAGAAATGTTTTCTCTCCAAAAGCCCCCTGACACTTAGAGAGGGAGTTAGAAGGGGTGGAGAATCTATGGTTATACTGGCTATATTAAATGACCAAAATCAAAGTTATAAAGATAAGGCAATTTAAAGAGAAAAAAAAGGTCTAAGACTACACAATGGGTGTAAAAAGCATAGCTTCTGTTTTTCCAGATTAAAAACCAGTCTCTTTGCTCTCGCCTGTGATTTTATTTCATTATAAATTTTAAAAAACCCACCTTTCTTCCATCCCCTTAATTATTCTTTGTGCTCATATGAAGAATGTTTTAAATTCAAACATAATAAAAGTGATATTGTATTACTTTTATTATCCTAATGATCATAATACATGGACCTTAATGTATGCTTTCTAATGGAATTAAACCAGTGACAGATTATGTGTTTTATGGCAGAAATAATATTTTACATGGAATATTTTACGTAGGTCAGTTTAATATATTGAGATTAAATTACTAGTTTCTTTTTTTTAAAGGGAGGGAAATCTCTGAAAACCCACAAGACTAAAGAGAATATTTTCAATTCATACTTTCAATATGGTTTTAATTAAGGTTTAATATCATTTACTGGGTACTGCTTAAGTACCATTTGCTTTTGAAGACTGTGTTAGGTGTCTTCCGTTTGTTTCATTTTCTTTTTGGGTGGATAGAGATGGATTAACTAATTCAAATACATGTTTTTCTGTTTGACCTCTATCTCATCTTCAGTTTAGATTTTCTGGGGAAGCACACAACCCTCCTGGTTCAGAGCGGTTAGAAACGATGCCTTAAACTCTGCCGTGTTCTAGTCCTAGTGCTAGCTTTCTAACTCCCCATCTCTGTGTATGAGGTTTAGGCTAACTCCCACATCATGAATATACCCTCTGGACTTGGAGAATATAGGCTTCTGGGTGGAAGAGCCTTGCAGACGAATTTGATATCTGTACTTGAGTGACTTGTGGATCATTTCTCAAAGACTCTCGAAGCAACTGATGGTTGACGCTCTTTCCCCTCTCCCGAGTGCCTGGCTCAGACACAGCGTGGAATTGGCACTGGAGCAGAGATGTGCCCCGCGGGGCTCTGGCAGCACCAGGACGCTGGTGAGAGGTGCGGGCTGCATTTCCAGCTGATGGGGGGACATCTTCATGAGCATGTTGTCGGCAGAGAGTCTGGAGATGAGACTGCAGACTGGGTTGGTCCCGCACTGGAGGTGGGGGGAACAGAGAAAGAGTAACCGTGAATGCACTGTGGGAGCCTGTGGGAGGAGCCAGGATTGGTGAGGTGTGCTGGAGCCAGGATTGGTGAGGTGTGCTGGAGCCCGGCGTGCCGCTGGGGAGGCTCTTATTGTGTCAGCAAAGGCAGTCCTCTGCCAGAGTGGTTACGCCCTCCAAGGTAGAGCTGCTGAGCAAGTGATGGACGTGCAAATAAATCCGTTGGGCTGGGAGCCCCTCGTCTGTGGTGTAATCCTGGGCAGACTTAGCCCTCCTCAGACCTGCTGCACACAGAGCTGAGCTAAGCAGAAGACAGCTTTTGAGCCGCACTGAGGGACATCCTGTTCTCCCCGTTCTCCCTGCGACATAAGTCTGCTCACGCGGTGCTTTGCCCAGAGGGCAGTGCGGTGAAGAAAATGATGCAGAATGCAATTTGGGCATAAGATCAGGGAGCAAGAATAGCTCCGTTTCCCCACATGATTAGATATTGTAAACAACTCCCAGCCGTAACCTGCAGTGGTAAACAGCAATGTGTGCCTCTTCTTTCTCAGTACACAGCAGTTGCCTTAGTCCCTTTGCTTGTTGCCTCCTGCTTCCATGTGACTTTCTTCTCCCTTCCTCCCCCGACTCAGATTTCTTATTGTAGCAGATAATGGCTGGTCTTGTGGCACTGCAAAAGCCAGGGGCTTACTGCCATTTATCTTTGGGGCAGCAAATGGAAAAGGAAGCAAATATATAGGGAAACTCAGAGCAGAAAAAAGGGATGGCTCACAGGGAGTGTCTGAGCAACTCCAGAGTCAAGTAAGAAATGACCATGACAACAAAGGGATGACAGGTAATTATCCTGCTGGAAACCATTACTGAAAATCAATATATAAAACAAAAAAGTATTTTGGCTGGTATTTAGTTTAGCAAAATTTCCAGCTATATGTAAATTTAGTAATAGAGGCACTGTTGGCATCCAAGCAAACTAGTTCTTTCATTAGAACTCAAATTAGAGGCAAAATCCTTCACTTTAGTAATAGATGAGGGCAGGAGTCACTCTTACATGGAGATAGAAATTTGTTGAGTTGCAGTCTGTGCTAGGCACTCCTCCTTCCAAGGCATATAGCCTGCCTATACTTTTCCATGTGAGCACTTGGAGGCATTTTCCCTATATCTATTACCTTTGCTCTAAGTAAATGCTACTGTATTAATGGGACTTGTGCCATTTGATTGCTGAGCCAGAACTAGTCAGTCACTATGGAGCAGGCATGGCTGATTTCACATCTCTAAGAACAGTTGGTTACCCATATCCTGTGTGGTGGACAGTGTTCATTCCTCTGGAGTCTTCGAAGTGTCAGTGGAAGGGTGCAGAGGGCTTGAAGGGCCAACAAAACCAGACAGAGCAACAAATTCCTGTGTATATCCTGAGGATGGGTAGAGCACTGCTGTAGATCTATGGATAGGTTTGCTTGCAGAAGGTGAGGCAGGAGTGGATATCCAGTGGACAAAAGCTGGAATAGCCGATCTACATGCCTCGGGGGCGGAAACTGCCCTTGTGGGATTCCCCAAACGTAGGTGGTGATTTTCTGTGAATGCCTGCATGAAGCAGGGTAGTGTGGGAGGTGCGCATTACGTAAAAAATGAGGCTTTTGCCACCAGAGGGTGCCTGCCCCCTTACCAAAGGTCGGCAATAGCCCATGTAACTGCTGCCAGCTCTCTCCTCCCCATTAGTTCACGTTGTCCCAGTGTTCATAGCACCCCTGCTGAGCCCTACTTCTTCCCCGCACAAAGTGGAGATGAGTAACCATGAAGTCAGAGACAGGTCGTGAGAAAACCCTGCTTTGGGCTGGCAGGGAGCATTAGAAGCAGCGTGAGTCAGGAGCATCAAAGTCCTGTAAGGGAGAGTTGCAGAGTCCAGAAGTAGCTTGAAGTTAACATGCACACAGATCAACTTTTCCCTCGTACTCTATTAAAAGTAATGTTTTCTATACAGTGCCAAACAGCAGCTCTTTCATCTCATCTACAAAGCTGCAGGTATTTAACTTCATGGTGTCTTCTGACCCCTTAGCACTCAGAATAGGAAATGTTAGCTAGAAAATTCAGCAAAATATCCATCTATCTCAATGAATGTTCTTTCTCCAAGGAACAAAGTTTTAAACAACATACATACAATTAGACTGCGGAATAAATAAGCCCACCAAGCTCAGGAAAAAAAGCTCTCAAAAGGAATGGAAAAGAAATACATTAGATCACTTACGTAAAAGAAGAAATGCTGTTAGGACTGATATCCAACTTGTCAGTAAGGTCATTATGAAGTTTGGACAACAGAGTGGTTTCACCAAGTTTTCTGAATTATGCTCTTCAGCAGTGTCTTAAAAAAAAAAAAAAGGCAAACCAAAAAAACCTTAAGCGGGTCACATGACTCTTGAGAAACTGTGGTCACATCCTGAGTAGTTACATTTGCAAAAGGAAGTTTCCTTTTTTGGTTTTAAGTTCAACATATAAACAAACTCCCCACTTTACAATATTTTGTGGAGAAGGTGGACAGCCAACAGTCACAGCCTGGTTCAGCTCTTTTGCTCTCTGAGGAGCCTTTAAACACTAATAGTTATTTTTACAGAATTGAAAAATTCCTACTGCAGTGAATTTGTCTGTGCCGAAGTCTTCTAAATCCATGGACCAGTGAGTGGATTTTCTGTCTTAGAAGAACTTTCTAAGGCATTCTCTCTCAGTATTGCTAGCTTTTTCTTGAACTCAACATGAATGCTATCATAGTGTTCTGAGAAGAGGACTTGTTTGAATATTTCCCTTTGATAATCAGCTTTTGTAGGAACAGAGGAGAAGCAGCCCACCATGGCCTCTAAACCTTTGCAAGCCAGTTCCTGGAAAATAACTTCTACCTAAGAAAAATGTCTCAATATAGTAGGAACTAAAAAGCAGGGGCTTACTATCAGATGATGTTTCTGATACGAGTCAAGCTTATTCTTTGAATCAGAGTAAAAAACACATATTTTTCTGCTCTTCATGAAAATTTATCTCCTTAAATGAATTAATCTGTTCCACAACTGAATGACAGCAAAACAAACAAATAAATATTAATGCATTTTACTAAGTGAACACATTCCTTCAAACTCATTTCAAGCCTGTCCTTCAGAGGGGAAAAGCACAAGAACACAGGCCTTATTTCTTTGCAGCACAGGTCTCTGGAAGGTCTCCATATTGCTTTTATCTCTTGCTTATTGATGTGCCTTTCTGCTTTAGAATTGTCCTTTGCTGTCTATCTTCAGCTCATGTGGATGCTTATATGCTCCAGTCAAAATAATCTGAAACACATCTTGTGTGAGAAGTTTTAAGAGAGAAAACTCCTGAATATTTCTTTTTCCTACTGTTGGTGAAGGAATGTCTGAGCAATCTGGTCTCAGTAGAATCTCACTTCTTAAGGCTGGATGAAATATCTGTCTTGCTGAGTAAATTACAGTTGTGAGGCCTTCCTTCCAGACATGTGTTTTTTATGGAACCATTGTAGTCCATAAGGAATGATGATGACTGGCACATGTGTATGGCCAATGACTGCAAATTAGCATGATGTTGACAAATGTTAAGTTGCTTTGACAGACTCAGTGAAAAATTGTATTCATGACTTCCAAGCTGTTTGTGAAGGGATAAGCAAAATACAGTGTTAGCCAGCAAATAAGACTCTTGAGACACTAAAAATATAAAATATAAAGATGATCCATGTACTCTCTGAGGTGGCCTTAGTTCCTGGCCTGTTTTGCCATGTGAAGTGTAAGTACAACTGACTGCGATAGGTGTCATAGAAAGTATTTGTTAATGTTTTGACAAGTAGTGAGTGTTGGTGTGTACATATGCATGGGTGTGTAGTTCATTTTTGCTTTTCACTGCTCCTGGTTCTCTATGGGATCAGAGTTGAAAACACCAAAACCAAGCAGACAAAAATCTCTGCACCAGCTGGGTGGAAAAGATCAGGATCCTTGTAAGAAACCTCCAGTGTTTTTGTACCTCATGTGTTTCATCTGCAAATGATCCCGTGCTCCAAGGTTCCTGAAAACCTATTACAGAAGGACTAACATGAATGTCAACTCTCTTGTTTTGTTTTGGGGTTTGGTTTTTTTGTTTGTTTCTCCTGGCCCAAGTCAGTTGTCTCAAGTGGGTTTTGTATTTCAGAGAAGGAACAAAACATCTGAGTATTTGGCTGAACTCTGTCAAACTGTTCAGTTTATTCCATTGCTACTTCTCCACAAATGCTTCAGAGAGCTTGGCTAGCTGACTGCACACTGCTGACTGTACACTTCACTATTCTCATTCACAGCATACTTCCAGTGAGGAAAAGCACTGATCAGAATAAGCCAGGCTTAATATAATCCTGCTTTGCAGTAGCTTTATTCTGATTCTTGACCAGACTGGGAACTGGGGTTTCAAGCACAGTCATCATTATCAGCCCTCCCTCTATTCTTCACCATCCAGCCACTGGGCAGGATATATATGTTTAATTAATTCTGCTTTTACCTTCGACCTGTAAATAGTGGCAGTAATGTCAGATTTATACGTTATATGAGTAACAAGGATTTCTCAGGAGACCCTATCCTGGTGAAAGAGGCTAACTGTAATTTTCAGCTGTGAGTAATTGTATATAATATAATCCTAAATGATTTTTCTTCTGTAATTTCATTAGAGTTTAGAAATTTAATTAGATTTTGAATCACTCTGAAATAAAGTAGCAAAACACCCAGAGACTAAGTGCAGTGGTTATTTTGTCCTCCGAGGCCAGAATTCTTGGTCTCAAATTGGCATGTGTTCATTAGGAGGAAGTTTGCAGAAGTTCTTGATATATTATTGTCTTTCAGAATGGACTCTGAATAGGTCTTTGGAGAGCATTAGAAGAGCACACGATTATTATACAGATTCTTTTTGAGGTTTAAGATCATCTGCCTTTCATATACTTAATAAAAATATGCCTCTAAAGTTGTTTAAGAAACTGTGGAGATAGGAAAGATGCTCCTCCAGTGCCTCAGTGCTCTTCCTGGTTTATTAGCAACTCCAGTACCTGTGTATGATGATACAGAGAGGAGTTGTTTGCTTTACTTTAATGATTAGGTAGGTTTATGGTTATTTTTATTGCTACACATATGAACTGTCATGGTGGCTGTAATTAGAGACACACTAAAATGCTGTTCCTTCGCTTCCATCTGAGGTTCAAAAGAAATCTGTCCTGGCCAACTTTGATTCTCTGTGGAATTCATCCTATGAGCAAAAAATGGACTCAGACGGCACTAAACAGCTCAAAGCAAAGATTAATGCAGCAGCTTATCATAGTACAGGGTGCCAGGATAGTTGTGGGTTCATAAAGGACATCCTCTTAAAAGATTCTGAGGGATCTAGGTATGCAAGTGCTTGTTCCCTTTTTGTTTTGACTCATGTAACACAGTTTGTTTTTGGGGATGTGCCCAGAATTATGCTGTTTAACTAGAAAAGGGATCTGGGCATTTAGGAGGAAATTCTCCAAGGCCTTTACCCACAGTAGGGCCTCTTTTCTCATTGGAGTTAGTTGATGGATCAGGACTACCTGCATGATTTTGTGGGAGTAGGTCCTTAAAAGGCAAAGGATGCAGCACACTGGGGGATTAAGTAGCGAGGAGGAAATTCAGATTACTTTCAGCATGGCCATAATATAAGGAATCATAACAGAGCTATAGACAGCATGAATTAAAGAATCCAACAAAAATTAGCATTGGGAGAGACAGCAAATGTTGTAAAATGAAGAATTCCAGCAGGACAAATGAGACAGACAAACGTCAAAAAGGTCTTTAAATAACAGCAGTCCAACCTATTTGAAAAGAAAGAGGTAACTCCAGTGCAATGGGATGCAAGTCAGTCTCAAAGTGAGGAGTCAAAAAGAAATGTCTCAGATGAGCAGAATGTTCAATTATGGACTGACCCATGCAAACATTACGTCCTCTGTGTTGACCACTGCAGGCAGACATGAAGTGAAACAGTTCCTTGGTCTGATCAAAGGTGTCATATCCTTTGTTCCATTAACAGCTCTTGATGAGAGCTCATCACCACAAAAATGAAGCTCTTGGGCTCAAATATATGCCTTCAGAGTGTGGCTAAGAACATCTTGATTCCAATTGAAAAAGATTATTGGAAAAATATTGGAAGTTTTTGTTTGCTTGGTGGATATCAATGGAAATTAGACAACCTCCGGCAGTCTGGTGTGTGTGGTTGTTCTGCCTTCCATTAACATGTCATGTCACATCATAGAACAGATTGAAGAAAACATGTTTGGGCTGATTACTGATAAAAAAATCAAGGTGCTTTTGCTATGGGCATCCGGAACAAATTGCAACTATGTTTGAAAACTCACAGCTGCTCTTCCTTTGCTATTTTCTCCATCTCCTCCTCTGTCAGGACTCTGAGCTGCTGGGACAACTGGAAGGGATTGCACATCTCGGCAAGCAGTACGATCACAGATGTCGGGTGTGTTAACAAAGGGAAACACGCCTGCACCAGTTATTTAATGCTTTCCTCCCTTGGCATTAAATAATACTGTGGGAAAACATTCAGCATTTCAGTCTTTCTCCTTTTTTATTCCCCTCTATCTCTGTTTCCTTTTCGGTGTGAAAAAATATGTTATGTTACAGAAGTGTTGTTACATTTTAAAAACACCTTTCCTGGATTTTACTTGGGGGATGCTATAACTTGGTCCTGTTACCAACTCAGAGAGGTGCGAGGAGACACAGTAAAAAGCCTTGGGACATGTGTACTTGAGTCTCTTGTGTACACTGGGAAAGAAACTGCTGAAGTAGTCCATGTCTCAGCTAGCAATCTATTCATTTGCAGATGTCCTGCCCCAGATCTTGCTCTGTTCTTAGGTTTATAAAACTGTGTGGTGTCCCTCATGGAACTTACAACTTTTACTGAGCCGCATTTCTTCCATACCAGATGTATTTGAATTATTCATTCAGGTGTTCTGCATCTGTGTGTCATTATTGCTTGCTTCCCAGTGAAGCACATTGGTTTTTGTACTTCTGTTGACTCTGTGTTATGCTGCAGCAGGAAAAAAGGATATTACAACAAAAGGCAATGTCTTCCATGGTGAAGGATGCCCAAAATTCTGGGAAGTTGTATATCTTTTGGTTTAACACATAACAATGAGCATATTATGTGCTGGGATGAAACATGGGTAGGCAGACATAAATTTGAGTTGAAAAGTAAACCTTTTTTGGGGAAACATGGCTCATTTGTGTTTGAAAGGTGCGTATCTAATATTTGCATGAAAACTGTCAAATTCATTCTAGACTGAGCATTGGGCTCCTGCCACTCTGCCACAGGCATGGTCTGGCATCCTGGGGAAGCTATTGATGCTGCTTCATGATGGAAAAATATGTAGCTCAGACTGGAGTACAGACAACAGGAGTGTTTGTGGTTCCTCATCTCCAGTGTGCTTTCCCATACTGACACCCCTCAGATGGAGAGCTTTGGCACTTACATACAGTGCAGCAGGACTTTCAGGGAGGTGATCTTGTGGTCAAGGTGATATGTTTTTTCACCATGCTATGTGTTTGGTGACAGAACAGACATCTGCTTAGAGCTAGCCAGGTTGCAAGCTATTTCCTGTCTGAGCCTTGGGCTGCATGGCCATTGCAGCAGGTGTGTCTCTAGCATTTTCCTTCAGTCTCCTAATTTCCCACAGGCTAGGATTCAAGATAGCATATAGAGACCATCAGCAATGCAGCATTTTTTTCTCATCTCACTCTGCTTAAGATGTGTGGATTTACATTCCTTTCTAGTTTCAGCTAAAAAGTTTCAAGGAGAGGTATCAATCTCCAGCTAGTTCATGCAGGACTATAAGTATGTTCTTAGGATAATCTTTGCTGACTCTTAAACATTGTCAACAGCCTCATATGTATTTCTGAAGCACAGCTCACAGGAATGGTTTCACAGGAACTTTCCTGTTACAGTATGGAAAATTCAATAGTCTAGCTCTGCTGCTGATGCCTGAACTGATGCTCTTACAAAATCAGAGAACCAAATCTGCCTTTTTCTTTATTTATTGAAAACAAAAACATATGTGTAGGTAACACTACCAAAAAAAAAAAATCAGTAGAACAACTGTATTGCACTGAGGCAAGTATTTTGGAAATGCTACTTTGTTCTACCATGTAAAATTTCAGATACAGAGTATGTTAATTCAACTTGTTGCATATTTCCATGATAGTCTGGACTTGAATAGCATGGTCCCATGGTAAGCAGTCCTGCCTGTCCCATCTCCACCTGACTTCAAGGACAGACTCTCACCTCATCTGAAATGGATAATGAATGAGGCAGAGTGAAGAAGAGAGTTATTCAAGATATCTCTTTATGTCCATCATTCAGTGGGACTAACAGGTCTTATTTATTACCTACCACCTGTTCAAACACAGAACAAACTTGTATTAATCCCAGAAAGCTGCTCCCATGCATCAGCAGGTGCCTTTCACCACTTGTCCAACTCCGTCAGAAAGCCAGGTTTGGCTGGGGAGGAAAGTGTCTGCTTGTTTTCCTTGGCTCGCTTTGGCTAACAGCTCCTCTTTGTACAAGTCAGCTCCAGGCTGGAGTTAAGAGTCTGCTAAAGGAGAGAAGTGACAGAGTGTGTGGGTTTTAGTACATTCAGCCTCCTGTGGGAAAATCTCTCTGCATTTTGTTTGTCTCATTGCTCAAATCTATCTGAGTGAGCTACTGGAGGAGGAGATTCTTCCACATATTGTATATTCTCTGAAGCACTGTAAGTCACAGTGGAGATACTGTAGCATTTTTAAAAGTGCCAGAGGAGCTGGGATGCTATGGGAGGAAGAAACAATCCCACAAAACTGATCAAAGAAGTCCTTGGGGGAGACTTTGGCTCTCTGAGCAGTGAGTTTAGGGCTGTGTGACCCTAAATTATGGCTCCAGTACTCACTGGATGATATTGTCTGCTCCTTTGGTTATCAAGCATCTCAGTCACTGGAGGACTTTGTGTTGATAAAATTCCTTTACTGAGGCAGCACTGCTGGAATTTTTCCTATGTTGGTTTTCATACGGCATGAACAAAACATGCCAGGCAGCCCAGCTTTGTCATTGTTGCACATTCTGATACACTCAGCTGTATCTTAAAATACCTTTGACGTGTGTGATGATAACTTAGAAAGCAGCCTCTGAAAATGGCTGGGTGTTTACTCTTTGAAGGTGGCATGTGTGGTGGCAGGAAATTTCAGAGCAAGAAAAAGAAATGGTAACGTATGTCCAGTTTCCATCCAATATTCTTGCATCTCCTGTCCATCTGTATTCTGTATAAGCATGTTGGACTTTGTTAAAGTGAAACCACTGTAATTTATGTAAGTAAAATACAGTAAACATTTCCAAGGGCATTGTGGTCATTGAAAAAAAACAAACCTAAACACCAGAGAAAATCTCTAGCTACAGTTATACTTTAGAGGTATTTAAGCCATCAGAAATTTTGAAGTAACTACAAAGGCACGGTATTTTGTTTAGCCCTCTTCAGATAGTATGTCATTCTAAGAAAACTTGAGTTTGCCTTTTGCAGATGTTGTTGACAGTTCTGCAGTTCAGGGTTCAGGACTGAGAGGCAGATCCTTGCCACTCTCAGATTGTATCCTGTTCACTTTAAATTCCTGCTGCTGCTGCATCATTTTCTGCTCTTCATCTCTGAAAATGAGCCTGTTTCACCTGATGCTAACTCAGGAGATGGAGCATAATCTTTTGCCAGTGTTTGTTAGAATATGAATGCAAAAAGCTGCAACAGTAAACCTAAGGGTGCCCAGGAAGTCAAATGATATGAAAGTAATGGCACCATAACCAAAACACAGCGTTTCTATAGTCGTTTTCCTAAAACACTTCAGGTTTTATGTAT